ATGAAATTTAGTGAGTTATTTACATCGTAAAACTTGTTAGTCATAAATTAATTTATATTATGTAAATATCTTATAGATACATGTTACATTCCCGCAAAAAAGTCTTACCAAGATTTTGTTCTTAATCACTGTTTTAGCATGTTAAATTTGTTCTTCAAGCTCCAAATCTATAGCTTTTTATTCTTGTTATCTTATTCATTCATTTAACAAATAGGTAGTGAGTAGCTCTCATGTGTTAGACATTGTTCTATGCTCTTGGCATGCATTAGTGAACCAAACAATGATTCCTGCTCTTGAATAGCTTGTATTTCAGCAATGGGAGATAGCAAATTTCAAGCAATAGTAGAGTAAGGTAAAGGGCACTGAGAAAGACTCGGGTGTGAAGTAAGTAGGACAGTCAGGGTAGGAACCGTCAAAACTGACACTTGATTTGATCAGAAGACTTGAAAGAGACAAGGGGCTTAGTCAGATTGATATCAAAGAAAACCACAGAAGAAAGAAGGGAAGGTTAATACTGAGACCCCAAGGGAATTAGTGGGAGGGGGTGTGAGCAGCAGGAAATGAACTGCCAGATTTATGAGAGGGCATGTGATAGACTAAGGAATCTGACATTTCATTGTGAGTAAACTTGAGAACCATTGCAGAATTTGAGCAGAGTTATTGGGATCTGATTTATCTTTCAGAAGTCTTACTCTGGCCTTTATGTTGAGAATACATTCCAGAAAGAGGGCAATTAAAAATCCACGATAGGAATTCAGTAAAAGACCGTATTGGCTTAGAACAGGGTGCGGTAGTGAAGGAGTTGAGAAATGACCTGATTTTGCACATAGTTTGAAAATGCAGATGGACTGGTAGATTGGATACAGGGTGTGAGAGAAAAAAAGGAGTCAAGTCTAATGTTTGGGCCTGAACAGCTGGAGAAATGTATTTATAATTAGCCAACATGGAGGTGGCTGCTGGAAGATTGATTTGTGGGGACAAGGGGGGAGAGATAGGCATTTTGCATATATTTTGCTACTTTGTGATTAATAGCACTTTTTTTTTTTTTTTTTTTTTTTTTTGGAGGGGTTTTTGCTTGTGGGCGCCCCCACAAG